TTTTTTTTTAACAGTGTGGCGATAACACTCCTTGAAACGCCACTAGTTTCAGCCGCTGCAGTCTTAATTACCTTCACAGAAAAGACACCGAGGCATCAGCCAACCAAGCGAGTCTCACAAAAGGGCAGCGCGAGCTCCACGGGGGTCTCCCGACCGAGACCTCGCCGCCTTCCTCGACGGTCTCGTTTGCGCTCGGGGGAGCTGCCAAAAAAGCAGCGGGTGGAGCCCTCCCTCGTGTGGGTCTGGGCAGCGCGGAACCCCGCTAACCGGAGCCGTCGGTGCACTGATTGGGAGGGCAGACCTGAAGGCCAAACGCGTCATACTTTCCACTGACTGAATACAGATGTGTGTACATTTGCCGCCTGTGCGCCGTTTATTCTGGAAGACGTGGACATGTAACCCAAACAGGGAAAAAAAGAGAGAGAGAGAGAGAGACGGAGAGACTAAGTGGCCTTTAGGGAAGAACAGAATGTTTTCAAAGAGATGGATGGCCACTTTTGAAGGATTGTGTCGCAACCCCGAGCAAATCTAAAATGGCGGGATGAAATTGACTTCAGACGGATGAGGCGGCCGATGTAATATTGTGTGATCTGCATGTTAAAAAGGTGATGGTGAAAGAGAGGGCGGGTGGGGGGGGCGGGGGATGCTGTAACCCGGCGAGCCGTCAAGGTCGGGCGGTGCTGTAAAAGTGCAGGTATGTTGTTTGGTCGCCAGACTGAAAAATGTGACCTTGATTATTGACAGCCATGCCTTGTTTTTTATAGGCCTCCCCTCGCCACTCCCACCATAAAGCCCATTTAGTGCTCATTTCGTCTGCTCCTTTTTCATTTAGCTCTCCCCACTCCATTTTGTTTTTCCTTCACCGCATTTCACTCGCAGTCATCTACGTGTTGTTTTGCACTCTGAGCTTGTATTCGCGCAAAGCTAAATTAATTAAGCCGGAAATTGATTTGACCTATGCGAAGGACTTTTAAGATCGTTAATTGAGTATTAACTGCAAGAAAAAAGTCAGTGGAGACAGAAGTCTGATACAAAAGATGTACTGTTACGAAAGGAAAGTCATGATATCAGAAGAAAAACATTTCATGAGAGTAAAGTCAGAATTTCAGACAATTCATAATCGCATTAAAATAAATTCGTCAACCTCCGTAAATGCATGGTTTGAAATTTCCGAAGTCGCCGTTTCAACGCCTATTCTCACGCCCACTATAACGAAATGGGAGACTGTGTCGTGTCACATCACTTTGAGGAAATGAAAAATAAAGACAAACGAGCAGAGTTTGACAGCCAGCTTTTGTTTCATTTGGTTTGTCAACCAATTAAATTTTGCTGTTAAAAAAAACATTCGAAAAATAAACATTCGAAATTTTAACACCAAAACACTCAACCAAAGACATTGTCATTTTTCAATGATAACGTCTTGATTCAGGATTATGTTTTAACAAGAATTGTCTTGAGAAAGTAATGATTCAATTTGCGGAATAAAAATTGGTGGATCGTTTGTCCTCGTTTTCGTTGTAATTGTGAGAAAAATATTTTTGGAGGAACATTGTAATTTTTTTTTTTTCCAAGAAAAATCTGAATTAGTTTTTTCCAAGAATTAGTAGAATATATCATGAAGTTGTGCAAAAAAGGAAAGTAAATTGTATTAATATATGTTCCGTTTTTCTTTTCACTCCTTCCTTCATCGACCAAAACCCTTGTTGTCTATTTATCCAACAAGAAAGACATTATAGGTGTAAAAAGAAATGGAAGACGGCAGTTTTTATGCCGCAGCAAGTAACGCCGCCGCGCCGGAGGTTCATCCGTTGTTGATTGATTTAACGCCGTAACTCCAAATGTGCTGTGATTTGCATATGCATTTTCGTTGCGGCGCGATTCAAAGTGATGGCCTGGGCTAAACGGAGCCACACAGAAAGCCCTTCACCATCAAAAGCGACCCTGCGCAATAAATCCTCAATTTCACCCTGGCCCTTACGCGTTGATTTAATTCTGTACATTTTCCTGAAGGCTTCGGCGATGCTGTGTTCGTCCGTGCGAGGGACGACACAACAAGAGAGTGCTTTAAAAGGTTGCACACGACGACGTAATATATCGTACCTTTGAAAAGAAGCTATTAAGACACAATTTAAGTGCGTTGGTCGAAAAGGCACTTTTGTTAATCAACAATCTGCTCGTTCTTGTTAAATGACGTCACCTTACCGTTTCTTTTTCTGTCCTCTGCCTTTCGTGCGAGCCTTGCTTGTCTTCCCTAAAACGTGTTTGTAAATTCATCTTGGTTCCGTAAAACATGTCAGCCAAATGACTCTCGCTTCTTTTCTCTAAAACATTAGCGGATGATTTCTTCTCTGAGACATGCGAATCAGGATTGTCTTCTTGAAAACATGTCACCCAATGAATCTTAGTTATCTTAATAATGTTCATGAATTGCGATTTGTTCTCTAAAACATGTTCACATATAGTTCTGTTGTCTACAGTGGCGGTCACCAACGTTTTTTCCCCACCGACCGGTGTAATGTCAGACAATATTTTCAGGGACCGGCCTTTAAGGTGTGGCGGATAAAAACAACAAAATAAAATGATATGACCTACATGAAAACTGTGGTATTTTCGAAACATATTAATCAACCCGAATCATGACACGAGGAACGTCCTATCTGGCCGCAACACTCCAGTCGCTATAGTAACGTTTAAACGTGCCTTCAAAATAAGATACCGCAAATACAAAGTGCATGAAAAATATGACTCGCCTTCGCCGCATGTTATGCAGAGTGGACTTGGTGCGTGGGAATTTCCCATTGAGATAAATCCGTATTTTAAGTAAGACTGCTGATACGTCTAATAAATGTAGCCTTCGTTTTCTTGGAAGTCGTAGGCTCCTCTTCTGTCTCCTGGTTGGGCCTTTTCCCCTTCCCAAAGACGTTTGTTTTTTACTCATTTTGCTAGCTCCCGGGTTTCATTTTAGCTGTAACCTATCACGTGACCGAGAAGCGCGCTTTGACCTGCATCAAAGAGTGACATTCTCTAAACGGATTTGACAGAGAATCTGGTAATTTTTCGAAATAAAACATCTTTCAGATTCTGAAATAAATAAAATGGAAGCAATGTAAGTTCTTTATTCTTTCTGTGCGCCCCGGTACCAAATGACCCACGGACCGGTACCGGTCCGCGGCCCGCAGGTTGGGGACCACTGGTCTAAAACATATTTGTCAATGGATCTTAATTCAGCATATCACGCTTGGAGCTCGTCTCTCGCTGATGAGATTTACCGTAGTTCTCTAAAACCTGGCAGAATACCGGTCCTTATTTCTCCAAAGCATGTTGGCGTATTCTGAATTGCAGTGCTCTTCTTAAAACCACCGTCGTAATAGTTTGGGATTTTTCATTATCGTTAGTTTTTATTTCGATTTGACTTTCATTTTTATTATTGTCAGTATGAGTGTGATGTTGAGTGCCAGGGGGGAAAACGGGTCACTAAGTGTTGTGTAATAAAGTCAACGGCAACTCTCAAACGACTTGTCTGACCTTCCTCCTTCTGCGTGGACGTAGAGCAAAACCAAAATAAATGCATTTAAATTGTACCTCAAAGTTTTAGCATGGCGAGATGTAGTTTCAGATTAATTTTGCAAAAAGCATTTTCGTTTTTAATTCCCTTTAATGCTTTTCAGAATTGGGTGTACTTAATCCGGCCGTCATCGGTAACGGCAGTCACCTTTCTTAAAACGTGTTTTCATAAGAATCTTACTTCACAAAAACATGTTAGCATATGAATCAGCGCTCTCTTAAAAAAAATGCATATTAATTTGCTCTTCTCTTCACCCTGCTAGCATATAAATCTTGGTACCCGTCTGTAAAACACCGGAGCAAATGAATATTACTTCTCCTGAAGGATGTTTGCGGATGAATCTTACTTTTCCAGACCATTTCAGGAAACGGCTCTTTGCTCTTTCCTTGAGAGCAAGTTCTTGAGTCTCAACCATAACAGAATATGAATTTTCAGTCTCTATCGCACGTTACCGTCCAATGTATACATCTCTGTTCTCTTCTCTAAAACATGCCTTACTTCTCTATAACATGACAGCAAATGATTTTTTTTTCTGCTCTCAAAAGTGTGAGAAAAAAAAATCTTAGTTTTCTCAAGTGTCTTTGCATGTTCATCTTTTGTCTCTTGTCTAAAACACGTTAGCAAATAAATCCTACAAAGTCTCAAGGTACCAAGGTTTCTTTCTATTTCTGCTCCATGCGAATCTGTTTGGAGCAAGCAGAATCCTTTTTTTTTTTCCTCTCTCTCTCTTTTTTCTTTCCACCGTCCCTCTCAGCTCTGGCTGCAGATGGCCATTTATTGTTGCAAATAGGCAGTTTCGAGCTTTTACACCTCAGGTCAATGAATGGCTGAGCGCAGTTATTTCGCCAAACACTGATTACCAGATGTTTTTTTTTTTTCGTCCAAGGAACACGATTGGAACACTCATGAAGCCCCATCCTGACAGGCCCACGTAGAATTTGTAATGCCATCATGTCTCTTTCTAATAAGACCAATTAAGCGGTAATGGATGCCAGATACAACGCCAACAACAATAATCGAGACGCTTAAAAAAATATATAGATATATCGATATATATAAATAAAAAAATGTAAAACGGCTTAAATTTGTGCACGCGTTTCCAGCTGGCATTTACCCTGATGGTCTTCATAAAGGTTTATTGCGGACCTGAGCGCACTGAAAAGATTCTGAATTGTATATCTTTACAGGAACAAAGCTGCGACATTATCACACAGTACATAAAAGTCGGATTTTAATTGGGCTTTTGTAAATGTCACTTACAGCCATTTTGTTGCTCCCCCCTCCCCACCCCCTTGCCCCCCTTCCAGGCTCGCCGGAGGACGGTGGTAAACCGTTCCAGTGTCCTGTTTGCGGCCTGGTCATCAAGCGCAAGAGCTACTGGAAGAGACACATGGTCATCCACACAGGCTTGAAAAGCCACCAGTGTCCGTTGTGTCCCTTCCGCTGTGCCCGCAAAGACAATCTTAAGTCCCACATGAAGGTGAGGTTGATAATTACCCCTCTGTCCGAAAGTCCAAATCATGCTCAATAGATCCTGAAAAATCCAGAATTTAACCTTAAAAAGGAAATCTGCTGTTTTTTTTCCACGAAATGAGTCTGTACTTGTGATCGTCGCGCTTCCATTGTCCAAAAAAACGCAATAATACCACGGGTAGCGCTACAGTGGTACCTTTTTCAATAAACAGCTGAAAGTGCATCTCGTGAAGGTACCAATGTATTCAAATGCGACACCTCGCCTTCCCTCTTCCAGGTACATCAGCACCAAGACCGGGGTGAGACGTTCCAGTGCGAACTCTGCCCATTCACATCCTCCCGTCACTTCAGCCTGAAGCTCCACATGCGCTGCCATCAGCACTTTCCCCGCACTGACGTCAAGGTGAAAGAGGAGCTCACCACCGACACGGAGGGCGAGGGCTCCCTGATGGGCGACGCCGGCGGCACAGCCGACCCGAGGGGGACCCAGGTGTCCCCACCGCACCCGGAGGCCCGGCTGCAGTCGTCCCCGCCAGGCGAGGCATCCTCCAATCACGTCCACATCAAAGAGGAGCCGCTGGAGAGGGACCTTTCTGCGCTGTCCCCCTTTAGCATCGGCAGGGAGCGACCCAGGAGCAACGCCAACTCCTTGGACCTGCCGGGCGTCGGCACAAGCATCGGGGTACACTCCAGCCCCAGTTGTCCACCTACGGCCTCACTCTTCAGCCCGGACATCACGACCAAGACGGCCACTGACCTGCTTATGAAGCTATCAGGTTAGTACAAGTTAGGACGATCGTTTAGTGCTTGATTGTAGTTGTACCAAGGTACTTCCAACTGGTCTGCCACTTCTGACAGCAGTTTTCACGGGGCCATCACATAGTGTGTCACTTGTCTCGAGGGTCCAGCCAATGTAAGCTTATGAATCTTAGTCATGTAAAGCATGTTGCCATATAGCATAATTCATCAATTCATTGACAACTAATCGATTCACAAATATTTAAAGAATGGCGTAATTGTCTCGAGCAGTGGTCCTCAACTGTAGTCCAACCCACCTGCCTGTGGTCACTCAGGGGCACGGGCATGCTGGAGCCTATCTTAGGGCAGGAGGTGGGGAACATCCTGAGCTGGTTACCAGTCAGCACCTAGCAAAAAAAACATCTATGTAGCAAGAGTGCCGCCTCAATCCGTCTCACCAGTCCATCATAAAATATATAACGATACAACAGGGTTGATATGCAACTCACATATCACCGTTTTGGAAAGACCTTCACACTGAGATGCGGAACATTCTTTGCATGAAGACAAATTCATACCGTGCCATCTGGGGGTTATTATACCAACTGGGAATTCTAAGGTTCAAACGCATCCTAACAGAGCATTAAAAAAAATAAATAAATAAAACTCATTTAAACTGCTCAGCTCAGGCTTACGAGAAAAATATTTAATTTTGTTTTAATCTTGGACTGCACGCTGGATAATAATGAGCTGCCATTCTGCTTGAGAATGGATTTTTGAACTTTGAAAGAAGGGAAGATTGTTTGGGCAAACTTGACGCGCACGCTGTTGTTTGGGAATGTTAAGTCCCGATGCTGTTTAGAATCTTTTTGTAGTGTTGCAGAATATGAAAAGCAGCACTCGGAGACGATGGGAAGATTGATGGGAAAAGGTTAGGGGAGGTTCAGCGGCGGGGTCGAGACGACCGCTGCCAATCTCGCGCTTAATGCTGTGTAATTAGATTGAGATCTTCGGGAAAAAAAAAACAGGAACATTAGATTAATTAAAAATGTATGCATAATTAAAAAGGAATTTATAATTTGGAATGATTAGCGCCCTTGGCTCACCATCCTGTGACCCAGCCAGGATGCGCCAGGGGGACTAGAACGACTCAGTCAAGCACCCCCACTCCCGCCCCTTTTGTGCCCCCAACTCCAAATGCCCCATTGGGGAGGGTGAGGGGGGGGGGTGTTACACTTCACTCCCAGACTGCGCAATCAAGCTCAGACTCCTCCAGGGAGGAGCCAGCGGTGACTCCTTCCAATGTCAGTCCAGCAGCGGACATCTTAAGTTCGAGCCGTCATTCAAGGTGAACGTGGGCGGACATGAAAAATTGGAAAGAAAAAAAGACATGATGATTATGGACTTTAATGAATATCGTACCTTTGATCACAAAGTATCTGCTTTGTCGAAAGAAGGGGGACTACTCAGAAGAAATGGGGCTCATTTCTTTTTAAAAAATTGGTGGGGGGGGGGGGGGGGGGGGGGGGGGGGGG